CCATTCTCGCACGCAAAGCCGCCGGATCGGCCGACTCAGCTGACTCGGCCGCCCTCCTCTTCCTCCTCCTCCTCCTCCTCCTTCCCTAAACCTGAGCGACGGTTCGCAAAAGCCGTCCAGAAAAAAAAAAGAAGCAAAATCCCTCGTCTTCGATTTAGACCGTGTTTTCGGATCCCGCCGCGTTCTCGCCCTTATTTTTCGGATTTCGTTTTTCGTCTTACCTGATTTCCGGAACCGCTGTTCCCCGGACTCGATCCCGGTTGTCATCCCTGCGGCTGGCTCCTCCTCTGCCTCCTCCGGGGCGTCCGCTCCGCTGTGAACTAATCGGACAAACTGGTTGCATCGGGAAAGCCCTCCACTCGGAGGCGAGCCGTCGGCCGGCAAGCGCGAAGAGGAGGGGCGGAGCGGCGCCACACCGCCCCGCAGCGTTTGCTCGAAAAAAACTAAACGTGGCCTTACGTACCTCCAGCCACGTAACTCGCGGTCTCCAGAAACGTCCGCGGGGCTACGTTTCCAGAATGAGCTTGGGTTGCAGAATTATTAGCCCCCTGTTTATTTTATAAGATTTCTTCAACACATTTATCAACATAATAGTTTTAATAACTCATTTATAATAATGGATTTATTTTATCTTTGCTGTGATGACAGTGAATAATATTTGACTAGATATTTTTAAAGACACTTCTATACAGCTTAAAGTGACATTTAAAGGCTTAACTAGGGTAATTAGGTTAACTAGGCAGGTTAGGGTAATTAGGCAATATATTGTATAACGATGGTTTGTTCTGTAGACCATCGAAAATATATATAGCTTAAAGGGGCTAACAATATTGACCTTTAAATGATTTTAAAAAAATTAAAAACTGCTTTTATTCTAGCCAAAATAAAACAAATAAGACTTTCTCTGGAAGAAAAAAATATTATCAGACATACTGTGAACATTTCCTTGCTCTGTTAAACATCATTTGGAAAATATTTAAAAAATAACAATTAATTCAAAGGGGGGCTAATAATTCTGACTTCATCTGTAGCTTTGGATCATTTTCCTGCTGTAGAACTGAACTTCTTGTTGCTTCACCTTGAGGTCACTAACAGATGGCTGGACATTCTCCTTTAGGATATGTTGGTACAGAACAGAATTGAAATCCAGGTGCTGAAGCCGCAGAACTGCCCCAGACCATCACACTACCACCACAACATTTTACTGTAGGAATGATGTTCTTTTTCTGAAATGCAGTGTCACCTTTATGCCACAGATAATAGGACACATGCCTTCCAAAATGTCAACTCTTATCTCCAATAGTCTTTGAGATGTTTTCTGGCAAAACCCAAGACAAGCCTGTGCTTTTTGCTCAGAAGTGATTTTTGTCTTGGAACTCGGTCTCTTTCTTATGGTGGAGTCATGAACACTCGCCTTAACTGAGGCAAGGGAGGCCTGCAGTTCTTTGGATGTTGTTGTGGGGTCTTTTATAGTTGTTTTGTTCCTCTAAAATGTTTTAGACACCTGCATTAAAAACACCGCTTTGAATTTCTATATTTATGAGTTATCATGAACTAGTCTGTCATTTAATATGACTAACACCTGGGGACATACTTCACCTGAATTACACCATTCTTATAGTTTCATGTAAAAAGTAATCCTTAAGCTATAAGGAAATATGATAATAAGCATTGACTGAGAATCACTCTGATAGTTCCAGGGTATTAGCTTTTCTGATGAAAATGACTTTTGTCTATTATTTTGACGAGCCTTCTAAATATACAAGAAGAGATGCGCACAATGCATTTGATTTCATGACTGTAAGAGTCCATCTATTAGCCCAACGATGAAACTAACAGCATGGTCGAAGGTTTAATGCATGTAAGCCTTTTCTAGTGCTTCTGAAAATAATTTTATTATTTATTAGAATTTATTTATATTCGTTTTTTAGCTACGAATTCAATCTGACTCCATTTTAAATGATCCTAAAATTTAGATTGTATTTCTAATTGTAAGAACGGATCACATTCATCATTTATGATTTAATTTAGAGTTTTGATATTTTCTGGGGTCCGATATTCTAAATTGTACGTTCATTAGGGACCAACATCGCTCAGAGTTCCACGCCCCGGGTTTGCGCTTCTTCTAACGAACAATATGTTTACACTCTGGAAATAGTCAGAGGATGCAGGATTAACTATATTTAAATAGGCTGGTTGCATATCGCTCACCTTGTCCTAAAAAAATAGATCCTTAGCCAAGCCCATACAACTTGCTGCTTTCAGTGGTTAAATGATTAAAAGGTCTACATGTTATAGGCTCTGTATGGCTACATATAATCAAATGTGCCTATTAATCAATTTAATTTATGCCGTACTATAAAGGTAATGAAGACTCCTCGTAATCTACTGGATACAATGAATTCGCAAAACTCCAGAATTAATCAAAACTTAACATTTTATTTGTCAGGTAAAATTGCATTTTGCCAATTACATAATAAATCATCAGGGGTCCGTTCTTCGTACCTCGCTTAAATGATCTAAGATTATTTGGCAGATCCCGGATCTTTTAATCTTAATAACTGATCTCTCGCTAATTTGGTTCTTCAAACAAGTTCGCGAATCAGATTAGAATGTCTGGATAAACTGATCTGAGATCGCTGCGTGTGTTGTGAAGGACAGATCTATCGATCCTCGAAATCAAGATCAGCAATGCAACGATTGGCTGATGGCACAGCAGCGTAATGACATCATCTGATTAATATTCAATTATCTATGTGAGCAAAATTACATCAAATTAGCAGTAAACGGCTTGTTAAATATGACACGCAATAACCTTTCACATTTGTTGTGAGCTGCACGCTTTCCACTTTCATGTGTCAAGAGTATTCCTCGTGTATTTGAATGCAAATCAATGTTTTTATTATTATGTATAACTTTATTTATTTTATTAATGACTATAACTTTATATATATATATATATAGTTTAAAAATATGTACCATTTTCCCAAGCGTATATAAATACTACTGTAAGAAAATATCAGAATTCGGAACATACTTTCTGTATTATCTTTGCTTGAACTAAGCCGATCTAATCCTGTTTATATGAATTGAACCTGCTCCCGATCAGGTTTGACCTAGCAGAACTGTTGCTATGACAACAACTCTCGGATCAGCTTTGAAGAACGAAACGATCCTGGATCGTGTCAAATCGGCAATATCCAAATCCAGCTAACTGAGTAATCCACATACGAAGAACGGACCCCTGGAAGCCAATTCAGAGATGAGACTGTAGCAATACAACATCCATTAATCAAAGATAAATCCAAGAATTATAGATGCAAACCTGACCAGAGAAATACATTGCAGCATAAGTCTCAGAGATACTGCAATGGGGTGTCTTTTTACAAGATCCCCCTGACCCATATCACATCTTTACCTTATATACTCAAGTCAAAACAAACACCCATAAATTCAAGACAATAGAAGTGTCACAGAAACCCTTGCCTGGTGAATTTGAGGACTTAACCATCTCTGAGGAGGGAGAGCATCTTGTGAAGATCTTATCTATGTCAAAAACCCAATCAACATATACCAGTGAAATATTACTGTAAAATAAGACCACTTTACCAATCACACAGAGACATTTAAAATGTTACCAAACATGAATATAGTGCTGCAAGATAAACCATATTAAAACCTTGAACATTTTATGTGAAATGTGCTCTAATCAGAAGGTAACATAAGGGTCAAGAAGGGGGGCTTGAGGTGGAAGGAGAAGGATGACTTTCTCGCATTACCCCCTGCTGTAGTGTAGCTCTGTTTCTCTAGCCTAAGGCCCAGTTTACACTAGTGCGTTTTAGTTTTAAAACGGCGTTTTAAAATGAAAATGATCCGCGTCCACACTTGCATTTTACCCAGCGTTTCTGAACAGCTCTCCGTCCATACCAAAACGCTGGAACGCACATCACGTGACCACACACTCTCAGGCAATTGCTGCAGCATGTTGGTCCCACTTTATATTAAGTGGCCTTAACTAATATGTACTTACACAGAAATTTAATAGTTTGTTACAATGTACTTATTGTGTAAATACATGTATTTACTGTGTACTTATGCTTGATTAAATACATGTATGTAATTTCATCTGTAGTTAACTTTTGTATATACATTTGTAAATACACTGTTGACCATCCCTTACACCTTAACCCACCCTTAAACCTACCCACACCACCAAACCTGTCCATAACCCAACCTCTATCCCAACTCAAAAGCACCACAAGTGTTCTCAAATACATCATAAACACAGTAAGTACATTGTATTTATTTTTTGATGTAAGTACATAGTAGTTAAGGACACTTAATATTCTACCCAGATGAGAGCTCTGCTAGCATCTCCCACTGGATCTAATCTCACTATATTTATTAAACGGGATATTTCATTCATCTTGTTGTCTTTATCTAATGACATATTCCCTGACTTTGGTCATTGGAATCTATTACTTGTTCTCAGGTAACGTGTTTTGGCTGAGTGCAAAGATAAGTTAATGATTAATAGCTACGTAGCCTACATTCTGTATATTGACTGATCGCTTGCCTTCATTTCCTATAATGTATAAACTTATTGCATGTTATACTTTTATAATGGCCATTATCGATTATTAAAACTGATATTCAGCAAAAGAGAGGCTGTGTTTCGTAATTTCCCTGAAATTGAAAGGAGGCAGTGGTTATCGGCTCCGTTTTGTTATAAATATCCACACAGTGAAGATGACGCTCATAAATGCAGCACGGCGCCTCAACATTTCTGCTGTCTGTTAAGTTGCTACTATTAAAATGAAAATAGGCAGTTCCTTAAATCAAGTTTACATTTTATTGTTGAGAAAGTGAAACAACGTAGCCAGGGTGATGTGAATGAAGTTATAAAGTACACTGTTCCCTTTGAAGATTGACGCGTGTCCTCGGAAGTCTGTTTTCCATATCAAACTGAGAAGAAGAGACTGCAGGCTTGATCAAACTTGCAAAGTCTGAACTTACAAGGAGAGGATGCAGGACTGAACTGTGCGTGTAGGCTACTTAATATTGAGGAAATGCCCCAATCAAATAGGCGAATGTCAGCAGCTCCGCCTCCGTTTTCAGATGTCTCCGTTTTTCCTCATCCACACTGAAACGGAGCAGCAGCGTTTTAGAATGAAAACGGCCTCTCCAGCGTCTCCAAAACGCTCCATTTTCGGCTCTCGAAAACTCCGGTGTAGTGTAAACAGATGGCGCAACCGTAGCAAAACTTATGCGTTTTAAAACAAAAACGCATTAGTGTAAACGGGGCCTAAGTTTGCATTGTCAACAGTGATTTGAATTGAACAGCTGAACAGCTGCTTTCTTCATCATTTCTCAGATTAGAAAGTGCATTGGAGCACTGCATCTTGTCTCATGAAAATTCCATAACAGTTCTCAGGGTCTGATATTTTGGATTCTTACAAAAGTAAAAAGAGGTATTTATTCACAAATCCATTGAGAAATTTAACCAAAGGAAGCTATAGATTTTTATTAAGATCCAAAAGATCTCAACTTGTAAAATGGGCATCCAATGCCACCTTTATTTACTGAAGGTTAGCTCTGAAATATATGACATTTTATGTGTGTTAGACACAAAGAGAGGTGTGCACTTGAGTCAAACAACTAGATTTAGACGTTTAAAAAAAAAAAACCATTGACAAATGATTAAACCTGGATTTATACTTCTGACATTACCCACTGTGCATATTTTGCATGTACATTTTGCATTTACCGCCGCTCTCCTTCTCCCTCTGGCCAGCATCTGGCCCAAAATATATCATAAATATATAATAAATATATCATTGTTGTTCATTTTTGAGAGGTGTTTGTCATGGTATGGCGAAGGTTATGTGACTGTAGGAAAACAACCATGGGGAAATCAGCTTTATTTATTCTGCACTTCTACATAAATTAATAATGCAGTTTTATCTACTAATCTCTTTGAAGTACCATAAGTAAATAAACTATGAGTCAAAGTTAGGATTAAATGTATGGAATAGCACACAAGACACCACTTATGAAATCCAAATTTTCCCAAGCACGGACAGAAACACAACAACAGTGATTATGTAGAAAATGAAGAAGGCCACGTCTGTGATTCTTGCCACTCTGATCCAGAACGATGAAATCTGAACCTCATTCTCATCTCTGACAGAATCTGGAAGAATCTGCTCATTTCTGACACTATCTATGAGGGAAAATACAAAACAGACACAGTACTTTTAGTGTGGTCTGAACCATCTTAAATATGCAAATCTGTTGAATCTTTGTAAAAGAAAGAAATGGATAAGTAGACTTCATTCTTACCGTCTCGTCCACTAACAGCAGCTGTTTTTTCCATTAATGCAGCTGATTTTTCCTCAGCATCTTTAGCCATCAGATAATTTACAAGGATGGTCTCCAAAATACTGATGCCAATGAGACTGAATATCACAATGCAGTAAACCCCTGTCAAGACAACAAAAGGCTATTTTGGAACAGGCCAAGTTAAGGGGTCCAATGCGTTCACACTAGACGCGGAACGCGCGGATAAACCGCGATATTTGCGCGTAAATAGTCGCATGAACATTTGAGGTTACTCGCTTCATTCGCACGTCAAACCCCGCTTCGTTCGCATGTCAAACCCCGCTTCGTTCGCGCGTCAAATTCACTTCAGAACAGACGCGGATTCGTGTGATGGGCAAGGCTTCTGTCTGCCCCGTGACTCTAGCTTCATAGCTAAAGGGCTAACATGGATTTTATAAAGAAAATAACAGTGTTTATGTGATTTATGAAGGATGATAAACAGCGTCGATACGTTTAGAGCCGTGTTTGAATCCACTACATCCTTTCAGAGGTGCATCCAGCTCTTTAAGCTCATAGACTCCACCAGAAACTTAACCTGGCTGATGGAGGTTTTCAGCGGTGCTTCTGACTAAGCCGAGCCCAGTTTGATGAACTTCTTGTCGGTGTCTGCTGGGGGATTTCCCCTGGGACACCGAGAACAGGTGATACGTCACAATCACGCCCCCACAAGAGTAAGCTCCAGATTGGTTAACGCGGCGTGAATGTCCGCTGAAGTTCGGATTTTCGAACGCGAGTGATTTGCGCGAAACGTGCAAAACGCTCAATTCGCGCCACGCCATTTGCGCCATGCGCACCGCGCAATTCTCGTCATTCGTGCCACGCCATTCGCCGCAGGATGTCTATTCGCGCGTTTGCATTGACTTAACATGTAAATCACTCGCGCTCGACGCGCGCTCCGCGTCTGGTGTGAACGCAGCATAAGAGGTCAAAAGCTTGACTGGGGCTGGCAATTCTAGAGGCTTGACTGGAGCACCATAAACAAAACGATTTACACAAACAAGAGATGAAAGGGGCTAATGAGTAACTGGAGGGACATGAGGCATAACAGGAGATTACATGGGCTTTGGGCTGGAGAGGAGCAGACATGGGTTTATGATTAAATAGAGCCAGTAGGGTAGACAAGGCAAAGTGCTTGAGCAGCATTGACAGCATAGCAAACTTGGCCAGTTCAATCTTGGTCCTATCCCATATCCTGAGCAGATGCAGTGGTGGTCATGGATGGGTGTAGAGCATGAGATTGATTCCTGAAAAACCCCAGTGATAGATCAGTCTCCGCGCTGATCCCATGGGCTAGCCTACTCAGACATGCAGCTTCCAGACATCCCAAGTTGGGAAAAGTCATTTCCGGGGGATAAAGAATTGATTTGCGGGAGGTAGCGGGATAGTGGGTGTTTGAAGAGTGGGGGTGCATTGAGTGAGTGACGTATCTGGGTAGGGGGGCGTGTGCGCGAGAGACGTACCCGAAGAGCGGTGGGAGTTGCGCACGCGACGCGACATAACATTACCTGAAGAGTGGTGGGGGTGAGTTGCGCGCAACGTACCTGAAGAGCTACAAGGGATGCGGTGGAGAGAGGGCTGTGCAACGTATTTAAGGACTGGGCAGAAGCGCGCGATTTCCGGAAGATTATCATTTATTTGCGGGCATCCAGGAGTGTCTATGCATTTGAGGGATACTCAATTTCCGGGAGACTTGGGATGTCTGAGCTTCTCCACAATAGATGTCTAACATTGTCCAGCCCCTAGACTGCACCTCTCTACAAGACATTTGGTTAGAGGAGAATTGGTTATGCCCACTTGTGTCTGATTTTTTCCCCCCTTAACTTTCGTCAGTCAGGTAAGGTTTGTTCTTCACCTAAGGCTTGCTTGGCTTGGGACTTGTGGGGCTGCGCATGGGTAGAGTTGCTCTTCAGTGAGCTTCTTACATGCCCTTCCTACATTTCCATTACATTGAACTGAACTAATTTGAACTTTGAAGTGTTTCAATATAGTCGAACTTCATTTACGTTAAGGTGCTTTCACACAATCTACATTGTGAAAAGCTCTATAGAAATGAAGATGAGCTGAATTTAAAATCTGAATACAGCAATATGCTCTTGAGCTGAATTTGGCAGTGGGGTTAATGGGCCATGAAACCACCTCGTTCAGCAGGGTGTTTTCACACCTACTTTGGAAAAAGTCAGAAAAGTGGGCGTGTCCAGCTCTGTTTAGGGGGGAGTGTCGGAGGAACTAAAGTAGGATGGTGTGGGAGTGTCTATTTGGGCACGCGCGAGTTTCAGAGTCAAAACACACACACACACACACACACACGGGAGAAAATGATGGTGTTTACATGGACATCTGTAGTCGAATTATTTGCCAAATTATTAAATGGTGGACTTTAACTGCAGTTTGGCTCTTTCATTCAGGGAATTCATTCATGCCCCTCGCGACAAACGAGATATTTGATTTGAGGAACTGCTCTAAGCGTGTATTTTCATGCATTGTTTGATACCGCACGGCGAATGAGAGAAAAAAACCTCCGCATTTCCCGGAAACTTAGATGCACACGGCAGGTAGTGTCAGAAAGCCGCGTGTGTTTTCCGGTCACAAAATGAGGTGAAAATCCTACACGATGTTAAAGTTTGGTTGTGGTGCTAACATGTTTACACTCGGTGCAATAGTTAACTTAGTTCGATACGAACAAACTGAATAAAAAAAGAGCACTGGTCGCTCACTTACCAAATCTGTAGAGACAGGACAATCACCAGCAACTAGAGCCGCGTCTTTATTAAGAGAAGACTATAAGCAAATCCGGATCTCAGCGTTTGCAGATGAGAACAACTATCAGGTAAACAATAATCCTCCTTAGACACGTAAGTTATTGTTGTCGAGCGTCGCGTACACTGTTAATCCACACGTGACTCCAGAGAGAAAATGAAAACGAAACTTAACAGCAGCAAACTATAAAAGCAACACTTCACGCTTGTTTTGCCGACACAACGTGGCGTCTCTGTCGTCTAAACACTGTGACAGTAATGAATATTAATGAAGTTGCGCAATAGAGCGTGCTGATTGGTTTGAACCAAGTCTTACTCATGCATTAATGCAACACACTGTAAGACGTAATAAGACACACTCTGGCACAGACGTCCAGTCTGCACGCTGGAATACAACGCTATTATGTCATGGCCGTGACGCAGCTTCAAAAATTCGTTTCAAACCGGAAGTACAAATTTGCTTGAAATAACACAAAAACAACCAATTTACACTTTTTAGTGAAATATAGGTGTCCTAATAGTGTTTTTAGCAGTGTGGGACACATCAACAGCTCAAGAAATGTGTTTTGGTGTTTCGTGACCCTTTAAATCTGGTCTAGACTGCACCCCGGGGCCGAAGTGTACACTGTGCTTTTCTTCTATTGGTTTTGGGATGAACTGGACAGTCTGTTCAAGCTTCTGCACAACTCAGGCAACTGATTTGCAACAGGAATTTCATTGTGCATGTGTGTGGCTACTGATGTTGTGCCTTAGTTTTGATGGGTAGTTAGTAAAGCATGCCCGATCAGGGTCATTTCCTGAGGAAACATACTACCTTGTCTAGTACTGGTCATGATGTCCAACAATAGTAATTCATAGAATTTGGTATTTACATTTAACCCATCCAATTTAGAGCAGACAGACTAGCAGACACCCATTTGCTGCAGCACTCAGGAGGAATGTAAAGATTAGGTGCCTTGCTTAAGGGTACCTTCAAAAAACTGAATATGATCCATAATAATCAACTGCATAGTTCATTAGTTATTAACTAAATTATGATGATGATCATGTCCAGGTTATACTCACCAATCAGAGGAATTCTGTCAGCCGTAGAGGGCAGTGTGTCATTAAGAATGAGCAGCAGCACAGAAATAGCCAGAAGTAAAGTGACTTTAAAGCTCAGCTTGTCTGGCCCACTTGCTTCTATGAAGAATGAGGCCACATCCAGCAGAAGGAAGAAGAACACAGGTATGATAATGTTGATAGCATACAGCAAAGGTCTTCTCTTGATGGTGATCTGATGTGAAAACAAAAATTATATATATATATTAGTGCTGTCAATCGATTAAAAAAATTAACTAATTAATTGCACCTTTAAAAAAAATTTTTTGCAATTAATCGCATTTAAAATACTAAAAGTTGTAATTTTGGCTATTCAAATGTAAAATTAATGTAAACGCAAGACAAAAACTATTAAAATTCAAAATATAATTGTTTAATAGAATTTTTGTTTAACTGGTAACACAGATTTCTTCATGTAAACAACATACCCACAATAAACCATCAAGATCCTGGCTTGACAGCCATATTTATTAAAGAAATTAAAACACAGGTATGTTAATGACATTTAAATTTCAAAACAATCAATGCCAATAAAGAAAACATTGATTTCCATGTTGAATTCTAAGTGGACTGCAAAAAAAATGCCAAAATACGGCATATGGAAAATTAAAAATTATAATAATAAACTATTGAATACAAACTGTTGCACTCATTGTAAAGTTTTATTGCTGTGAGTTGAGAACATTAATTATAGAGTAGAAACAATTTAGCTTAATCCTCTTTTACATCCATCCAGTTGCTAAGACTTGGAGTATCCCGCAAGTGCACAGAGACTCCTGGATGCCCGCAAATGAATTATAATTTCTCGCAAACCGGTCGTTAAATACATTGCACACCCCTCTCCCCCGCATCCCTCCTAGCTCTTCAGGTAGCCTATGTCGCGCGCAACTCACCCCCACCGTCCTTCAGGTATGTCTCGCGCGCACACGCTCCTACTCAGATACGTTGCTCACTCCACCCCTGACACCCCTCAACGGGCCTGACACAGAAACACACACAACGCTCTGCAGACGTTTTGGCCCCAACGACCTTCCATACTGGAGCGACTCCCCTCAGATTCAACACGCATGATCGCGTTCATCAAATTTGCTTAGGCGTCCTAAAGTATTACTGTATTTCACAAGGATTCTGACACAACAACGCGAAGCATACGCTTTCGTTGCGTTTAATGAGGAAACACACTAAACTTGGAGGGCGCATGCTGAAAGGCAGAGTAATGCCCTGTCTTTGACAGCTCGCGACTTCACCAGAGACTTTTTGAGTCCATTCACATAAGACACCAATACTCCGATTTTAATATGATTAAGATAATACTCTTATTAAAATTCTACCGTGTAGCCTAAGCAGTGATTTTATTTCCTTAAAGGAACACAGAGTCACGAAATAAGGAGGATTTTCTTTCTGTTCACCATGTGGTATCAACTTACAACAGAAGTCGAAAGTTAAAAATGAAACACCCGAAATTGCATGAAACTCTGGAGAGCCTGGTGGTTTTATACTGAAACTTGCCTTCAAAAAGTGCTTCCTTGGTCTTATCCACATTTCTTGCATGTTGAACACAAAAAGAAACCTGCAACTGCGTTAATTGCGTTAATTTGTTTTAACGCGTTAATTATTTAAAATTAATCGCATGCGTTAACGCACTAATTTTGACAGCGCTAATATATATATATATACACATACAGGGCTTGACATTAACATTTTTGATCACCAGCCACTGTGGCCAGTAGATTTCCAACATTACGAGCCACTCACCATTTTTACTAGCCACACTTTTCTTTTTGGGAAAATATATTTTATATGAATAAATTTGACTTTGACATGCTAAAATGACTTGATTAGATGTAGTGTTATGTCCACATGCCTTCTTATTAACTTCTTATGTGAATTGTGTATTAGCTTGCTCAGAATAGCGAATATATAGTGGATACCTGTTATTATCGTTATTATTATTTTTTGTAGATATAATTGGAGTATATTTTTGCAGATTATATTTTCTTGTTTGTTGTTTCTTTGGTACTTTATTTTTATTTTCTTTGTATATACCTTCATAGTGGATGGACTTTTTGGTACTGTAAATAAACATCACCTTGCATGATAGTGCTTTGCGAGTAAGCCATAATTTTTTTTCCCCTTTACAAACTCACATTTCTCCCCCTGAAGACAAGCTGGTGTGCTCGTTTTCATCATGTGCATGTGCAAATAGTTTGTGTCGCAATGCAATCAGTTTTCAATCAGCGGAGACTGTCAGACGCAGGATTATTTTTGGTCCACTTTTGTAGCGTTTTTATACATTTTTGTAAAGTTAAAGTCTACATCTTCATCTGACAGTTTGTTGGCTGTTTCCCAAATTACACTAGAGTGTCGCCTCTTGGTCATTCTAAGCTCTTTGCCTGAACATAGCAAAGCTGAGAGCATGACTCCAAGCCACTTTCTCTGTAAGTCAGAGGTGTCCAAACTCGGTCCTGGAGGGCCGGTGTCCTGCAGGTTTTACCTCCAACTTGCCTTAACACACCTGCATGAATGTTTCTAGAAAGCCTAGTAAGAGCTTGATTAACTGGTCCTGGTGTGTCTGATTGAGATTGGAACTAAACTTTGCAGGACACCGGCCCTCCAGGACCGAGTGTGGACACCCCTGCTGTAAGTAGTTTGTTAGCTGATTTCAACTTTAGCACCGTCTGCTTCAGTGTTTCAGTCGCTGTAACCACTCTGCTGATTAAGCTTGTCAATATGTCAGCTTTGATACTGAATACTTCAATTAAAACTCTCAAAAGTTGCAACAAGTGGAGCAAGAGCTTAGTCGATTGCTTTCTTCACCTGTTCTGCGATGGTGGACGATAGCTCGGAGACAAATTCTGATATCTGGGTAGCCTGTGCTCCTCACCTGATATACCAGCAGATCCTGTAAAAGCCCTGTAAACGTTCCATTAACCCTAGAAGTGTCGATTAAGAGAAGTTCCCACTCTCCCTGGGCCTCAAACAGTTTCTTGGAATCCTTAGTAATAAATTGTGCTTTAGACAATGAATCAATCTCGAGTTCCTCCCCTGTCCAAAACAAGAACCAAGTGATCAGTAAACATTGCACATAATTGTAGAAGAAAATTATTAAGCATTATTTAAAATGTTTTATTTTGTCATATTTTGTATATGTACTTGTGTGCACGGCAGAGTGAAATGTTATACTGCAGGTTTGGGTGTCGAAGGGAAATTTGTACAAGTCCATGCTGCAAGCCGTAGTCAGAGTTAAAATATCAATGGAGATTGAAAATTCCCACAACTCCAACTGCACATACGGAGACGGTGTTGTTCCATATTCTGTCTTGATGCTAAACAAACAACAACGCCATACAGATTATTATGACTGGCCACTCTTCAATGCAATGATGACTTATGAAACTGTTTTTAATAACATTTCTAGTTCCCAATAAATGGACTTCCAGCTAAGCAAAGTTGTGACCAAATGATGACTTTAATGACATTATATGCCCCCTAAGGCAAACCTGCCAACAGGTTTTGTGTTTTTTGGAGGTTTCTCATATTTCATACTCACCTCGCTGGAATCTCTCATAATTTGTATGGTGCAATCTAGTTGCGAAAAATCCCTGTTTTTCCATGTTTTTCAAGTTGCCAGTTCTTGTACGAAGCTCATCACCTCACACAACTGACTAAATATTCAAATCTCAAAGCATTTTTAGTAGACCCCCAAATGAAGATCAAAGAATCAACAGAAAAAACACAATCAGTTTCTCAAAATCTCAGCAGAGATTCATTAAACAACTCTACAAACAGCTTCACTGGTAACATTATGATAACTGCACGCTATCAATCATTTATTAAGCATTAGAAAATATTTAGTTTGACACTTGTTAAGTTATGCAAAATACAATGGGACCATCGCAACTGGCCCACCTTTACAGGTACTCTGCTCTGCCCCAACTGTGGCCAGTGGCATAATTTCCCCCTCCTTTCTTCCTTCAGCCTCAGTTCGGGATACATTCTATTTGTATGTCTACTTTAAGTGAAGTTTAATTTTAAACTTAATTTTGAGAGAAGCACATGCTCATGATTGACCCAGCTGGTCCACATTAGCTAATCATGATCCTCCAATCAAAGGATCCCAAATCACTATATATATCCTCATTTCCTTTCTACAACTATCTTCGCCTGGAAGAAACCCCCCTCATCCCCTTCTTCCTCCTTTATCCAGAATGGGCGGCATGGTGGCTCAGTGACTAGCACTGTTGCCTCACAGCAAGAATACCAATGGTGTTGGGTCCTCGCTGAGCCATCTGGTATTTCTGTGTGGATTTTGCATGTTCTCCCCGTGTCCGCGTGGGTTTCCCCCGGGTTTCCCGGTTTCCTCCCACCATCCAAATGTGCTCCATATTATAGATCAAATAAGCCTAAACCTTTTTTAAAATGTCTTACTCTCAGGAAGTTCGGCTTGGCCTCAGCAGCGGGGGAGTTTGAGATAGACCTGGGCTCAATCCCCACTCGCCCTGCAAAAGGGGTGCTCTCTCCTGGGACAGCAAGCCAACAAGCTATGTATAAATCATGAGCTAAGAGTGAACTCTGGAATAGATATTGATTGTGCAATGCTGTGTTCTTAGCTTGTAAGCACATATAAAATGTGCTCAATCAATGGATTTTCAAAGTCTTCTATTACGTTTTCATTACTATATAAGGTACTGCATTACTTACAAATTAGTTGTTTAAGAGTTAGTAAGTGATTTTTAAGATCAAAGCATATAGAAATAGTTACTTTGTATGTGCTTTAGAAACACAAATTCAGATTTTTTAAAACTGATCTGAAGAGAGAACTGTTTAGGCTTTGTAAATCCATTGTAAATGGCAATTAAAGGCTTAAATTCTCAATTTATAGTTTGGTACATGGATTTTTTTTCTGAATCATGTTGTTGTTCATTCTTTCTCCTATTTAAGATAAAATTAAATAAGGCTTAAGGGATTTACAAAGCATAAACAGTCCTCACTTTAGATGTAGGTCACACAACTGTAAAATGTTATATCAACACAGCACTGAATAACATACAACTATAACTACATTCCTGAAAAATGACATGTACAAATGTTAATTTGAATATTTTAGTATTGATTTACTTACTCGATGTGAATTAACTACTCGTGAATTGTAAATAAAACAAAACTTTTTACAATTTACTAACAAAGTATGAAATTACAATCCATAAGCATTTTATATTAACCCAAGCTCATTCTGATAGCGTAGTCCCGCGGACGTTTCTGGAGACAGCGGAATACGTACCGGGAGGTACGTACGGCTGCATTTATTTTTTTCAAGCGAACGCTACGGAGCGGTGTGACGCTGTTCCCTTGACCGCTTACCTCCTTGTGGAGGGCTTTCTCGCTGCAACCCGTTTGTCCACTCAGGTCATCGTGTACGTCGGCAGGCTTGAGATGCAGAGAGGAGTTGACCAAGGCGATCGGTTTCGAGTCCAGAGAAGAGCAGTTCCAGAAATCAGGTAAGACAAAAACAGAATCCCAAAAATTAAGTGAATGAATTTCATAACAGGGTGAGAACGCGGTGAAATCCGAAAACGCGGTAAAAAAAAATCAGGGCTTTTCTTTTTTTGGACGGCATTTGTAAACTGTTGCTCGGGTTTAGGGAAGCGAGTGGGCGGGCTGGTCAATCGGTAAAATTGGTTGGGTTTAGGGAAAGAGGAGGGCGGGTCAGCCGATTGGCCAGTCGCGCAGTCAATCATCTGGTCAGTCGGACAGCGGCCTCTGGTGGGTTCACGCGAGAACAGCGCGGGCGCGAACTGCACTCGTGAGAGGCGGTTGAGATGCAAAAAGGCGCACAACAGCGGCCTCTCGCGGATTCACGAAAACAAAAACTGCAGCCGTACGTACCCGCCGGGTTGTATTCCGCGGTCTCCAGAAACGTCCGCGGGACGTTTTCAGAATGAGCCTGGGTTGCTTTATATACTTTATAAGAGTCAGTAATTCAAACAGGCAGCATTTGCAACTACATTTAAAAACTGCTTGTTAATGCAGAGTTAATGCTTAACATGAATTGCCTATTGTGCTAATGCCCAACAAATGATTCATAGTGTGAAGTTATTATAAAGTGTTAAAGCTTCCCTTATTACTAATTGACTTTGATTCTAAATATAGAGTTGTGGTGCTCAGGAAGGGGTTTAAAAGAGAGCATTGAGAGTATTGTCCATGTGACATGATGACATGATATTATCAACTAAATGCCATAACGACAATAATGAGCCCATTAGAAATTGGAAAACAATACGTTATGATAAAAACTTGACGATACACCATACTCAGTATATCTAGACATGGCCACAATGAGCACCTTCTCTGCCATAATATAATGGTAAATAAAACAGTTGTCATGTCAACTTTCTACTATAAGCAGAAGCTCGCAACAGCCGTGTGAAAGTTGAAGATCTTTAAATTTGACGCAGCGTCTAATAATCATGGTGCTCACATGTGCAGATTTCTACAGAAATCTACAGATTTGGTAAGTGAGCAACCAGTGCTCTTTGTTTATTCAGTTTATTCGTATCAAACTACCAATTGCACCGAGTGTCAACATGTTAGCACCACAACCAAACTATTACCGTCGTATAGGATTTTCACCGCATTTTGTGACCTGAATTACACACGCGGCTTACCTGCCGAGTGCATCTTAGTTACAGTGAAATGTAGAGTTTATTTTTTTCTCTCATTCGCCGTGCGGTATCAAACATTGCATGAAAAATACACGCTTAGAGCAGCTCCTCGAATCAAATATCTTGTTTGTCACGAGGGGCACGAATAAATTCTCTGAATGAAAGAGCCAAACTGCAGTTAAAGTCTACTATTTAATAATTTGTCAAATAATTTGATTACAGATGTCCATGTAAACAAAGTCACTTTCTCCCCTGTGTGTGTGTGTGTGTGTGTGTTTTGACTTAAACTCAGCGCGTGGTCAAATCGACACTCCCACACCATCCCTCTTTTGCTCCCCTGACACTCCCCCTTAAACAGAGCTGGACACGCCCACTTTTCTGACTTTTTCCAAAGTAGAGGTGTGAAAACACCCTGCTGAAACGAGGGGGTTTCATGGCTCTTTACTGTGCTTAATATGTCTAAAAAGATACCATTTGGACACACCTTTGCTTTGGGCAGTTCCATTTCTAAAACCTATCAATTTCTGTCTCTATTCCTAACAATGAAAGTGAGAGGGGAAAAAATACAAATATAATTTAATATTTTTTACCTTTCTTTAATAAGAAGGTCGGGAGTCCAAAACATTTCTTTATTTGCATGAAATTGTGTGATTCCACATCGTTTGTAGAACATCCACAATGGAAGGCCGTTGTACCAAGCCTGCAAATGCATGAATATTAATTTCAGAATATGAAAGTCATGTTTATTAACTTCCGTACAAAACAAGACTCGCTAAAGGGCACTTCAGCAATATGTACGCTCCACCAGCCATTTACCTGGACTACTCGTGCTTTCAGACTTTGGCTGCATCCAAAACCGCATACTTCCATACTGTATAGTACGCTAAAATCAGTATGCGAGCCGAGCAGTATGTCCGAATTCATAGAATTCGAAAATCAGTATGTGAGAAGTTCGCAAATGACTTACTACTTCCAGCGAGATTCTGGAGTGCGCATCCCATGCACGCTACGCTATCCCATGATGCCCCACGAGAGAATTCATGAATGGGAGTGAAGCAATGCAATTCATGCAGGTGGGTTGTGTGACCATGAAAAAATGGCAGATGTAGTACGTTTAAATTCAAATGCAGTACCTACTGAGTAGTAGGCGGTTTCGGACGCAGCCCATGATTACCATTACACAGCTGCAGACATTACACTGATTGCACACACTATATAAACACCACTCACATATATAGTTGTGTACAACCCCAAATCAGAAGAAGTTATGACAGTATGGAAACACAAAAAAGCAGTGATTTCTAAATTTGCTTTCACTTGTATTTTATTGCAGACAATAAAACAAACATTATTTAATGGCGCAGTGGGTAGCACAATCGCCCCACAGCAAGAAGGTTGCTGGTTTGAGCCCCGGCTGGGTCAGTTGGCATTTCTATGTAGAGTCTCCCAATGTTGGCGTGGGTTTCCTCTGGGTTCTCCAGTTTCCTCCACAAGTCCAAAGACATGCGCTACAGGTTAATTGGGTGAGCTAAATTGTCAGTGGTGTTTGTGTGTGTGTGTGAGTGGGTGTTATGGATGTTTCCCAGTGATGGGTTGCAGCTGAAAGGGCATCCGCTGCGTAAAACATATGCTTGATAAGTTGGCGATTCATCAGATTATTAAAAGGACTAAGCCGAAAATGAATAAATTAATGGAATAATGTTGCCATTCCTTTTCAAAACATTTAAAAGTCATTTAGGTACTGAAGACACTAAGTGGTGTGGTTTTTCAGTAATTTTCTCTCATTCTTTCTGCAAACAAGTCTAAAGATGGGCAACAGTACAGGCTCTTTATTGTCACATTTTGTACTTCAATTTGCACCACACATTCTCTATGTGAGGCAGGTCGGGACTGCAGACAGGCCAGTCAAGTACCCGTATCCTCTTCCTCTGCAGTCAGGACATTGTTATGTGTGCAGAATGTGATTTTGCTTTGTCTTGTAAAAATATGCATGGGCGCCACTGGAAAAGAAGGCAGCATATTGTGCTCCAAAATCTGTTTGTACTTTCAAGTTACCTTTACCAAGGGCACTGACACAGCTTGTCAGCTGGTTACATGTCTGCATGATCCTTTTCTTCTTTGGTCATCTGACCAAAGTACACGTTTCCACTGTGTGATGGTCTATCCCAAATGCTTCCAAGCCCAGAGAAGTCGACGGTGCTTCTGTAGACTCATAAGACATGGGCTTCCTTTTGGCAGTTTTCACTGTCATTTGTGGATGTAAATACGTATTGTGGTACTTGACAAATGTTGGCCAAAGTACCTATGACTTCATGTGGTAATTTCACTTATAAATGAATGAAGATAAGAGAGCAATTCTAAGTGTTTTCATTGTTCCCGTTCCTGTGTTGCCTGCACCAACCATTGCTTGTTTTTTTGGTAACAAATTTTGCTGTTGTCTGCTTCTGTCGACCCCTTCCTGCATGACCATCCCTTGTTTAAACAAAACTTTGTTTAGAACTTAGTCCATTGTCATCGCATTTTATCATAACAGAAGACTGCTGCTGCATCTCTATCGAGAGGAGTCTGGATGCAGACGTGGTGCAGTGCAATCTGAGCTCCATGTTTTACGCAGCGAATGCCCTTCCAGCTGCAACCCATCTCTGGGAAACATCCAAACATACTCATTCACACTCATACACTATGGACAATTTAGCCTACTCAATCAAATTCTCCAAAACTACTTGCCAAGATTACGATTACATTACATATAATGAACCAATAAAATTAAACAACAACTGTCCCTTCGGTTTCATTCCTAAATGTTCATATCACACAAAATCTGCTGAAACTCACGTCTAGTAAAAGCCCGTCCCCCAGAGAATTGTTATTCTATAGCGATCGCTGATTGGCTCCTGTACTAGAAGGCGGGGCTTCATTCACCATATTGACTGTTACACTTTTCCTCATTCAAAAGTATACGAGTGACATGTCTTGTGTATTCTATAGTCTTTGACTCAATTCACCTGTACTGCATGTCTTTGGACTGTTGGTGAAACCAGAGCACCCGGAGGAAACCCATGCAAACTCCACACAGTAACAAACTCCACAACTCCACAAATTCAGGTAAAAACACACACACACACACACACACACACACACACACACACACACACACACACACACACACACAAAACACTACAAACATAGTAGACATTCTAAACCAGGGGTGGGCAAACTCAGTCCTGGAGGACCGGTGTCCTGCACAGTTTAGCTCCAACCCTAATCAAACACACCTGCTTATAGATTTCTTGTGATCTTAAAGACACTGATTAGCATGTTCAGGTGTGTTTGATTAGTGTTGGAACAAAACTCTGCAGGGACACTGGCCCTCAAGGATCAAGTTTGCCCATCCCTGTTCTAGACCAACCATCAAGTAGAGAGGCTTCAGTAAAAGTTGTTTGACTTGATTTATTAAGATTTAGCCAACTGGAAAATATAAAAATCACATTTTTCAAGTTATATTTCATCTGCAACAATAATGTGAACTGATGTCAAGATATGCTTGGACATGAAGTCAAACAACCCTAAAGCTATGTGCTCACGCAAAACAAAAGCATACAGCCAATAATCAAATTAACCATGTGCAAGACACACAGAAACAAAAGCATCCAGCTGCAAACACAAACCGCAATGCTAAAACATGAAAACACAAGAGTGTAGACAGACACAAGATGACAAACAAACAGACAAAGCAGTTGAATAGGGAGCATGAGTGTCTGAACACTGACACAAAACTGAAACAAGTGAATTGCCGGGATCTGAACAAACAAATTACAATATAATTCTTACAGAATCTCTGTACATTTTAAAGCATATTATTTTGTTTTTACACAAGTATTCTGTATATTATACTGTTTTAAATTGTAAACTTCTTCACATTTGTCATGGGAACTCACTCCACAAATGCACAGATCACAGGATTTATCCAAAAACACCTATTTATTAAGAAACAAAACACTCACTAGATGCCCTGGGACCTTCAACACTCAGGATCGACAGGGAGATAGTGACAAAACAATTACCAGACTGCAAACTAAACTAAAGCAGGGGTCTAAATACACAGGACATGCTTACACAAATCGTAAACAGGGGTGACACAGCAGGGGCCTGTTTCAGTAAGGAGGTTCAAACAACTCGGGAGTTTAAACTTGAACTCTGAGTTGATTTACCGAGAGATTAAAAACCTCAGAGGTTTCGGTTTCAGAATAGCTGATCTGAGTTAGGTCAATCAAATTTGAGTAGACCAACTCAGAGTTAAGCGCGCACACCGTGACTGTAAAAAGGCATTAGCAATGGAGCGCAGATATTACGAGTGACCATGGCAACATCTTAAAAAAAAAAGAAATCAGCATTTCTTTCTCCAGCTGAACTTGATCTGCTCATGCAAAGGTATAGCAAATATGAGTGTATATATTTAAAAAGAAGCAACCATCAGTGAAACAGAGACAGTTAGCATGCTAAAACAGCTGCTCAAGTTAATGCTTATTTTTTCATTTAAAGTATTTAAACATTTAAGTATAATAAAATAAGTAATATAATGTGTGACGTGTATACTTTTTTCTAAACTTTTATACACATTTATCAGTTTTAATAGATTTAACAGTGCACTTGTGTGTCTGCCTTTTTACTGATCAAGTGATAGAGGTTGATATAACATTAAGAACGTAAGCAGTGCTAAAAATTATTTTTAGACAATAATAATCCCATTAATCTAGTAACAGTACATGTCGAAGGTTAAGCTAAATATTTATGGAAAAAAGGACAAGCCTCGTACATGACTTTGTTCTGTGTGTGACAAAAATGTAGGCAATAGTTGTGTTTCAATTAAAATACAGGCTATTACATAAATTGTGCAAAACTGGAATAACACCTAAAAGATGCGAATAAACCAGCGTTTTTATCCAATGAGTCAAAGAGAACACAATCGTCACTTCCTGATTAACTTGCGCCAAATATCAACAATAAAAACAGAAATTACTGCAGTAGAACAAGCTAAGTCAATGATTTTTTATTTAATACTTGCGCTTCAGAAGACAATTGACACACAATGAACATGTGGGGGCGTTTGAAGCCAGACGCGGAGACTCTTGACACGCTCCTAACGCTCGGAGGTAATTAATAATATACACTAATACTGAAACAGTTAAGGCATTTTAGAATTACTAAAACAACATTTAAGATGTTCTACAGTGTGCTGAGTCTGCTGGTTTGTCCATTCACACACATTTTCATCATCATCTCTAACAAACCTTTTTTTAATGTACATACTGTAATTTGTTAAGTTCGTAGTTTATGCGCATCTTTTCTTATGAAATAAAAGTTTAACCTACTCAGTTATGCACATGTTTTATTATGCGTATTTTCAAAAGTTATGTGAATCATGACGTTTCCATCAATCGTTTTTATAGGCATCTCCAAAGTGAGCTCTAAAATAGGTGTGTGGAAATGTAAGGCTAAGGCAAGAAATACCGCTTTATCTTTAAAAAAGGGGAGGAGACCGACAGAAACTCAGAGTTTAGAGAATAAAACCTGCTCCTGACCAGGTTAGATTCACAGAGTAAGTTACCACAGTAACTGACACTGAGTTAAAGTTACCTTTCTTTCAGAAACAGGCTTGACTTCTTGAGTTTAACAAACCTGCCATTTTGAAACCGAAAACCCAGAGTTTCTCTCATTTCAGGGTTAAAATACTCTGAGTGTACACTTAACCTCCTTTCTGAAACAGGCCCCAGGTGGAACTCATGATCATTACAAAACATAACAGTCGATGGAGGGAGGAACCGTGGAGGAGGAGTAGCCACCGACTCCAAGGGGGCGACCGAGGGCGACGCCACAGATAGAGGGGAAACCCAAGAGCTGCAGAGCAAGGGTGATGCCGAGGACTCAGAGGGCCAAGGTGGAGTGGACGGCTCACCCAACCGATGGGACGACGCTGGTCCATGGTGCAGATGGAGGTGAAGTCCATGAGCCGTAAGGACAAGGTGGAGTAGACGGTCCACCGACCGATGTGACAACGCTGGTCTAAAAGCTTGTGGCAGAGCCAGAATGACAGATGTGTAGCTGGAGGGAAGGAAGAGCTCAACGTAGCTGGCAGGACGGAAGGATAAGGCGCAGCCAGAGGAGTGGAGTCCAGATGCGCAGGAAGGGCAACGACTGACCAAGGCAGGGCCAGAGGGATGAGGGAGCCTGGCGAAGTTTGTGGGCTGACGGTCCATGGAGGAGACAAGGGAGGAGCAGAAGGAGAAGGAATTCGGAGAGGTAGATGGTGTCCATGGGAAAGGGAAAAGAAACACTGGGGCAAAAAGACTATATACTTTTAAAAAAGGGGTGGGGGAGGGAGGACTAGGTCCATTATTCCACCACGTCCGCTCAATTTACAAATGCACATATCGCAGGACTTATCCAAAAACACATATGTATTGACAGAAAACACTCACTACTCGCACTGGAACTTCTACACTCAGACGCAACAGGGAGATGGTGACAAAACAATACCCGACAGCAAGCTAAATAATGCAGAGGTCTAAATACACAGGACATACTTACACAAATCACAAACAGGGGTGACACAGCAGGTGGAACTCATGATCATTAGGAAACAGCGGGAAACAGAACTAAGGGGTTCAAGGGGTTGTCAAATGACAAACACAGACAGCACATGGTGCACGGAACATGGGGAAATCACATGACACAAACACACCAGACATGACAACTGTTTTTTTGATTTTTTAAAATTAAATTATTCTGGCAACCAGAGCTGCCCATTTTATTTAATTTTTTTATGTATAAAACAACTTTTTTGGGGGGTCATGAGGACATTTGGATTATAAAGTCAAATGTAAATTTTAATCTGGTCATATTTAACAAAGTCTTTGTGAGTTGGAGAGACAAAATAAGAGTTTTAAAATACTTACAGTCATCATTTTGACCTGTGTTGAGAGGCTTTGGGTCTTTTCATTCTGCAGATAAATGAAGTGTGAAATTAAAATGTAATAAAGTGTCAAATGATGAAACTTTTTGATGCATCATTAATAGATATGACAAGATATGTCAAGCTGGATACATACCACAGCCACAATGGAGGTTACATAGATGTCCACAAAAACATATGAAGGATAGCCGTCAATAAAGGGCCGCATGTAGGTCTCCATGTTGTTCATTAATTTTAGGACAAATTGAAATATTTTTGTGTAATTTTCACGGTAAACTGCCGGGTCACAGCCTGGTTTAATTTGTGACACGTTGAGAGTTTCTGTCACATAAGAAAATATTTCTTAAGCAACCAGTCAGCAAGAATTTGGAAATGTTTTCTATAATGCTGTGTTCACACCAGACGCGGAACGCGCGGATGTCTATTCGCGCGTTTGCATTGACCTAACATGTAAATCACTCGCGCTTGACGCGCGGATAAATCACGCTATTCGCGCGTAAATAGCCACGTGAACATTTGAGTTTACGCGCTTCATTCGCGCGTCAAAACCCGCTTCATTCGCGCGTCAAATCCGCTTCATTCGCATGTCAAATTTAATTCAGAACAGACGCGGATTCGCGTGATGGGCAGGGCTTCTGTCTGCCCGGTGACTGTAGCTTCGTTGCTAAAAGGCTAACATGGGTTTTATTAAGAAAATAACAGTGTTTATGTGCTTTATGAAGGCTGAAAAACAGCATCGATACGTTTAGGACTGTGTCTGAGTCCACTACATGCTTTCAGAGGTGCATCCAGCTCTGTGAGCTCATAAACTCCTCCAGAAACTGAATCTGGATCACGGAGGCTTTCAACGGTGCTTCTGACTGAGCCAAGCCCAGTTTGATGACTTGTTGTCGGTGTCGCCTGAAGGATTTCCCCCAGGACTCCATCAACTGGTTCTACGTCACAATCACACCCCCACAAGAGCAAGCTTCTGATTGGTTAACGCGGCGCAAATGTCCGCTGAAGTTCAGATTTTCGAATTCGAGAGATTCGCGCGAAACGCTCGGTAAGCGCGTCAAACGCGCAAAACGCTCAATTCGCCTCGCGCAAATCGCGCCACAGGATGTCTATTCGCACGTTTGCATTGACTTAACATGTAAATTACTCGCGCTTGACGCGCGTTCCGCGTCTGGTGTGAACGCAGCATTACACCTGTGTTCTATATGTCCAACTCTTAAATGCATATAGAGTGAATATACAGTTGAAGTCAGAATTATTAGCCCCCCTGAATTATTAGCCCCCATTTATTTTTTCCAATTTCTGTTTAACAGAGAGAAGATTTCTTCAGCACATTTCTAAACATAATAGTTTTAATCTCATTTCTAATAACTGATTTATTTTATCTTTGTTAAGATGACAGTAAATAATATTTGACTAGATATATTTCAAGACACTTCTATACAGAATAAAGTCACATTTAAAGGCTTAACTAGGTTAAATGGGTTTACTAGTTTAGGGTAATTAGGAAAGTTATTGTATAACGATGGTTTGACTATCGAAAAAATATACAGCTTAAAGGGGCTTATAATTTTGACTTTAAAATGGTGTTTAAAAAATTTAAATCTGCTTTTATTCTAGCTGAAATAAAACTGAAGAAATAATATTATCAGACATACTGTGAAAATTTCCTTGCTCTGTTGAACATCATTTGGGAAATATTTTAAAAAGAAAAACAAATTCAAAGGGGGGGCTAATAATTCTGACTTCAACTGTACATATACTCCAAGTACCTGTAAGCTATCATCTTAATGCTAATGATACTCAGTTTTATATCCCCATAAACATGAATGAAACTCTGTTTTACTGTCATTTTTTACCTTCAATGAATCAAAAACTGAAGTACTAGTGTTTGGCTCTCCAATTGTCTCTGAATCTACAAATAATAACCTAAGTTTTTTTAAGCCTATGGTCCACAGTCACGTTAAAAGTCTTGACACTGAGTTAAAGTTTGACAAGCAAATTAATTCTGTACTCAATAGTGCAGGGTGGGCCAACCCTGTTCCTGGAGAGCCACCTTCCTGCAGATTTCAGTTGCAACCCATATCAAACACACCTGCCTGTAATTATCACGTGCTATTCAGGTCCTAATTAATTGGTTCAGGTGTGTTTAATATGGGTAGCAACTGAATGTGCAGGAAGGTGGCTCTCTAGGAACAGGGTTGGCCACCCCTGCAATAGTGGTTTCTATCAATTAAAGAACATTGCTAAACTGAAGCCTTTTCTGTCTTTTAAGGAGTTGGAAAACATCATCCACATTTTTATTATGTCCAGATTGGACTACTGCAACTCTTTGTATTCAGGAGTTTGTTTCAAAATGCAACCACTAGGCTTTTAACTGGGGGAAAAAATTAATTGTATCTCACCAGTTTTATCATCCCTTCACTGGCTCCCAGTCCAATTTAGGATCCAATACAAGTTACTGTTATTTGAATTTAAAGGTTTGAATGGTCTGGCACCTACAGTTGAAACCAGAAGTTTTCATACACTGTATAAAAAGGCACATAACAATTAAAAACAAAAGTCAGATGTAAATGTGACTAAACTTTTTCCCTTTTAGGTATTATCAAATGTGTTTCTGTTATGCTTAATAGCAGAATAATGAGAGAGATATGTTTTGAGAAATTGTTATAACTTTTCTTGAAAGTCAAGTTTACATTCAATAAGATCATTCTGCCTCTGAAAAAGCTCAGTCGATGGTGTCAAGGTTTTGGAAGTTTCTGATTGACTAATTGACAACATTTGAGTTAACTGGAGGCACAACTGTAGAATAGGATTTAAGGAAAACCGCAAGCACACTGCTTCCTTGTGTGACAACATGGGAAAATCAACAAGCCAGAATCAACAAAAAAGCCAGATTACAATGTGCTAAATTACACTGGGAAAAAGAATAATTGTTGACATGTCCTGTGGTCTGATGGAGCTAAGATTGAACTGTTTGGCCATGATGACCAGTGTTATATTTGGAGGACAAAGGGGAAAGCTTACAAGCCTAGGAACACCATCCCAACTGTGAAGTATGGGGGCGGCAGCATCATGTTGTGTGGCTGTTTTGCTGCATGAGGGACTGGTCCACTTCACAGCATAGATGGCATCATGAAGAAAGAACATTATGGAGAAATACTGAAGCAACATCTCAAGACATCAGCCAGGAAATTAAAAATTGGCCAAAATTGGGTCTGCCAAACAGACCATGACCCTTAGCATACTGCCAAATTAGTTCAAATGTGCTTTAAAGACAACGAAGTGAATGTTTTGGAGTGGCCATCACAAAGTCCTGATCTCAATCCTATAGAAAATGTGTGAGCAGAGTTGAAAAAGCTTGTGCGAGCAAGACAGCCAACAAATCTGACTCAGTTACACCAATTCTGTCAGGAGGAATGGGCCAAAATTCCTTCAAACTATTGTGAGAAGCTTGTGGAAGGATACCCAAAACATTTGTTATACAGTTTAAAAGCAAAGCTAAAAGAAATACCAAGGAAATGTGTGTAAACGTTTGACTGTCTAGAAATTAATAAACAATTATCTTTTAAAAATCTCTCATTATTCTGGCATTTAGCAAATGTAAATCATTTAGGTAATCCCAACAGACCTAAAACAGTAAACGTTTAGTATGATTTACCATCAGACATTTTTTTATATGGTTATGTTCCTTTTTTTTAGAGTGTATGTAAACTTCTGGTTTGAACTGTATTCAAGTATAAATGTTGTATGTTGGTTGTTGTGTAAAGCACTTTGGTCAAAAATCTGTTGTTTTTAAATGTGCTCTATAAATAAAGCAAACAAAACAAACAAGTAGGGCGACACGGTGGCTCAGTGGTAAGCACTGTTGCTTAACAGCAAGAAGGTCACTGATTCGAGTTCCAACTGGGCCAGTTGGCATTTCTGTGTGGAGTTGGCATGTTCTCCCTGTGTTTGTGTGTGTTTCCTCTGGGTGCTCCGGTGTCCACCACAGTCCAAAGACATGCGGTATAGGTGAACTGAATAAACTAAATTGGCCGTAATGCATGTGTGTGAATGAGTGTGTGTGGATGATTCCAAGTACTTTTCCCCCCCACCAAATCTACCCACATTCTGAATTGTTTTGGTTAGATTATATTACACTCTGAAGAGCATTGAAAACAATAAACAAATATAATTGAAAAATAAATGAACGATTAAAGAAGATACAGACTAGAAACAAGTCAAAAATTCTGCCAGCGATAATTATACTTGTTAAATGCTTTGAAATAAAAACTTATGTACAGT